CTTCAACGCGATGTCGAGCGTGCCGGCGATACCTTCTGCTGCAGCGTCGGCGGCGGCGCTGACGACGACAACAATGGCCTCGTCGCCGCCAAGTCGCGGCCGTGTACCCCGCCGTCAGTCTTTTTCTGTACGACGGTCTCTACAAGCGAGTAACGGCCTGGCAACAAGCACTTGGCAGGTGGGGGCGGTGTGTATGTTTGTATGTATGTATGTGCGTATGTATGTATGTATGTATAAGCGGGTGAGATCATTTTTGAGGGCAGCTTCATCTCTTGATTCCCTTGATTTTCACCCACCCACGTTTTGCCTTTTGCTGTACATTTTTGTTGTGCGACCTAGGGTTGCTTTTATATTACTACTTGTTAAAAGTTTTTCCTATCTTCGAGTCCTCTCAATCTTCGTTATTTCATCCATCAAACTCCTCTATGTTGTTTCTGTGTACCGCATAAAATTTTGAACACTGTGCCGTATGTGTGTCTGTGTGTGTGTGTCTGTGTGTGTGACACGGCTCCGTGAGACGCAGGTGCTCGTCCCAAACGCGGATTTGGATTCTCGGTCTTTGTTCCCAGCCGCCAGCTCAGCTGCTTCAGCCGTAGCAACAACGCACGCCGCGGCGTCCGATACTGCTGCTGCCGTCGCCGTTGACGTGACCAGCCTGACCTTCGCCCCTGCCGCCGCCCCTGCCGCCGCCGCCGCCGCCGCCGCCGCCAGCACCCCTGGCAGCCGAGGCCAGCCGCTACCGTCTGGCACACCTACAGCGGCGGAGGCGACGGTCCCGGCAGGGCCTTCCTTCGGCGCCGCCACCGCCACTGCCACCGCCACCGGCACCGGCACCGGCACTAGCACCGGCACCGGCACCGGCGATGAGCTTCAACTGCACCTTCAATTCTTGGAGACAGGGGCAACATCCACAGGCAGCGCCGCCGCTACCGGTTTCACGTCATTGTACGGCGCCGCTGGCGTCGGCGTCGGCGGCAGCAACCCCAGCCCGCGAGGCACCATGCATTCGCTAATGCTTCCACAGCAGTACGGACAATCCCAGAATGGATGTACGTCAATAGGCGCCGCCGTACTGAGCGATGGCTCCTGCGGCGGCGGTGGCGGTGGTGACGGTGCCAGGGCTATGGCCGCCATGGCGACGGCGCCAGCACACGCTAACGACGGCGGCGGCGACGGCAGCGGCGCCGTCGACAACTGTCTTCCAAATCCGACGCCAGGCTCCCTCGCACCTTTCCACTCTTTGAAGCCCTCGGCGGGGGTGACTTCGCCCCGCCAGTTCCCCGGTACGGCAAATGCGATGGTCACGGCGGAGGCGATGGAGGAGGCGACGGTGGCTCTAAAGTCGGCGGGAGCGCAGAATGCTGCTACCGCTGTGGGGGCTGTAGCGCAAGAAGAAGAAATGACGCTGCTGGCGCTGCTGACTGGGTTGGAAACGGACCCGGAGAGCTTAGCGGTGTCGGCAGCAGAACACCCCGTTGGCTCAACGTGCAAACCCGGTGCGACGGCGCCGCCGCCGCCACCAGCGCAACATCGTTCTGCTATCTGCCATACATCACCTCCGTCGTACCGCGCTTTGCGCCATGCCTCCGCCCGGGCCGCCGGGGGCATTGGCGCCGGCGGCGACGGGGGCCGGGAGGCCTTTGTGGCCATGCTGGAAACCAACGCTGACAACAGCTGCGCCGGCGCCGGCGGCGGCGGCGGCGACGGGGGTTTTATCCGCGGCGGGGGTGGCGTTACAGCCAGCGGGTTTGTTTCCCTGTCGGTGCCGACGAGCGCCGTCAGCTTTGCCGGCGGCGCTGGCGGCGGCTCCCCCGCTGCCGCCAGCTCCGCGACTGTCAGCACGGCTGCCTGGTCACGGCCGCAGTCATCCCGCGTCCTTGCGTTCGCTTCCAGCCTGCGTACGGCACCACAGACGCTGCTGTCGCCGGGGGGGATCCTCAG